ACCTTTTTCATTTCTAGTGGATTTTTGCTTTCAACATGCAAACATACTATAATTTTACATATTTTAAAGCAAACAGAATAATAACGTATTTTCAGAAAGAATCTCTAGCCTTTCAATCCCATTCTACTTACCAAAATATCAATGTGTTATGGATTCACTATACCTACTTTTCATCTATTCATTGATGTGCTCAAATCAATTTTCTACACTGTATGCTAAAATAAACTTTTCTAAGTTCACTAACAAATTTTAGGTATTTAATTTCAATTAATTTGCATTTACATTGAGATTTCTGGCCCTTTTCCCTTGCATGTTTGTAAATTGCTCATTAATATTGATAAGTAAGGCTCACATTGTCTACCATCTATATATATAGTGATTCAAATCCAGGATACATGTAAGTAATATATACCTCCTTGGTAAGCAATTTTATCAATGAGAGTACAATCCCTATGTACAGTTATTTTTTTATAAAAGAAATTAAATTCCAATTTGTATTATATATATTTAAGATATATGACATGAGGTCTGATAAACAGATGCACAGTGAGATGATTATTATAGTTAAGAAAATTATGATATCCATCATTGACACTGCCCGACCGGCGGGCAGTGTCGGGGAGTTCGTGATTGGAGTATGAGAGGGAGAAGGAAAGGGTAGACACAATCACACAACCACTCATACAGTATAGGGATAAGGCTGAGCCAAAGCTGTTTATTAGGGATTGCTACAATCTTATATAGGGTTAGTTGAGGGGGCGTGGTTACTTTATGAAGCTGAGTCTATATAAGGCTAGGAATGTAGTCTTTGGCCTATGATAGGTTTAAAATGTGAGGGGAGGGCAGAGGGGTTATGCTGTTCTGACGGGAGGGGCCCTGCGCTGTGCTCTGCGTTTCTGTCTAAGTCTTGTACAATGTAGCTAGCTCTATCCGGTTTTCTTACCAGTACTGGTCTTTTCATCCGGCCTTTTCACGTGGGGGTTGAATTAGCCTAGCACTTCCTCTTACGATGTAGTTTAATATTTCTGTTAACCCTTACACATCATATAATATAGTAAACTTTTGTGTGTTATGTAGTAAAAACACCTAAAATATACTGTTAGCACATTTCCAGTATTCAATACAATATTCCTAACTATGGTCCTTATAATGTGCATTAGATTCCTACCCTTATTTCCTCTACATAATAAAACTTTGTGCCCCGTGACCTCAGTCTCTCCAACTTCCTTTTCTTTGTTTCTGTATATTTGAGGTTTGTGGGAGGAGGGTCACATGTGTGTGCTTATATGTTTAGATTCCACATATAAGTGAGATCATTCAGTATTCCTCTCAGTGGTTGACCTGTCCAACTAACTACTAAGGCCACATCAAGCTAAAATGATCCTACATAGCAACAAAAACAAAAAACATTAAACAAAACAGAAAGACAATGATTTGAAAGAAAAAAATTGTGAACCATATATTAGATGAGGTGTTAATATATAAGAATATATTAACATATATATAATATATTAATATATAAGAAACTCACACAACTCAATACTAAAAAGAAAATAATAATATAAATAAAATAAATAACTCAAAACCAAAACCTGCTCAAAAAGCCTTAATAAACATTTATCTAAAGAGGAAATACAAATGACCAACAGATATTTGAAAAGGTACTCAAATTACTAATCATCAGGAAATGCAAATTGAAAACAAAATGAGCTATCACCTCCTAACTATTAGAACAACATTACGAAAAAGATATGCAAGTGTTGGTGAGGGTATGGAGAAAAGGAACCCTTGTAAACTGTTGGAAGGAACGTAGATTGTATTTCCACTATAGAAAACAGTATAGAAGTTCCTAAAGAAATTAACATATCATTCTTATTTCTCTTTACTAAATCATGCTTTTGGTGTTTTATGTAAGACCTCACCAGTTAACCCAAGTTCACATGGAATTTTCTCCTACTTTATTGCAGAATGTTATAATGTCTAACCACTTCATGTGGTTTCCAACTATAACACTTCTATTTCTTCAGTGTCCATTTCTCTCCAGTCTGTGTGGAGAGAACTCTCAACTGTAACCATTTTAAGTGCTCATAAGTTAATTCAATTCCTACCTCTGTCATGGGGCCAAACCCTTCTAATGGCTTTTTTATTTATTAGAAAAGTCTTTCCATCCCTCTTTTTGAGTAAGTTAAATTTGGTATGCATCATTATTACAACTGAGCTAAGCTTGAACCTTCAATTCTTCTATTCGGGATCAATACCTCCTTTTATTGTAGTGGATTTATTTTATTTTATTTATTTATTTTTTAATTTTAAATTTTTGGGGGGAATTCATTGGAGGTACAAAGAATTAGATTACACTGATTGCATGTATTAGGTAAACTCCCTCTTATAATTGTGTCCCACCCCCAAGAGCTGTGTCATACACAGTGACTCCCTCTACCTCCTTCCTCCTCCTCTCTCCCCACTGCCTCATTCCCCTGCCCCACACCATGTATTGGGTCATCTGTTGTGTTCACTTTAGAATTGAATACATTGGATTCTTGCTTCTCTATTCTTCTGATGCTTTCATAAAGAAGAATGCATTCCACCTCAACCCAGGTTAATACAAAAGATGTACAGTCTCCATCTTTTTAAATAGCTAAATAGTATTCCAAGGTATATATATATATATACCACAGCTTGTTAATCCATTCCTGGCCATTCCTGGGTTGGTGGGCATCAAGGTTGTTTCCACATTTTGGTGATTATAAATTGAACTGTGATAAACAGTGCAAATGTCTTTATAATAAAATGATATTTTTTTTTCTTCTGGATAGATGCCTACTAATGGGATTGCAGAATCAAATGGGAGGTCTAATTTGAGTTCTTTGAGAATTCTCCATATTTCCTTCCAAAAAGGCTGTATTAGTTTGTAGTCTCTTCTCTCCACATCCACATCTGCCTCTGTAGCTTTGAGGTTTTGTGATGTGGACCATTCTCACTAGAGTTAGGTGATATCTCAGGGGTGTTTTGATTTTCATTTCTTTTACAATCAGGGATGATGAGCTTTTTCCAAATGCTTGTTAGTCATTCATCTGACTTCTGTGAGAGAAGGTTCTGTTCATATCTCTTGTCCAGTGGTAAATGGAATTGTTTATTCTTTTTTTGTTGATTGATCTGAGTTCTCTGTAGATTGTAGTTATCAACCTTTTGTCAGATTCATACCCTGCAAATATCTTTTCCATTCTGAAGGTTATCTTTTTGCTTTACTTGTTCTGTGTCCTTACCTGTGCAGAAGCTTTTCAGCTTAATTAGTACCATTTGTTAATTTTTGTTGTTATTGCAATGTAGCTGATTTTTAAAATGTGTTTTGCTCATAAGCAATGTTCAGGAGGAGGGGGCCTTTCTTGCATGTCCATCGTATTTAATTTTATATTTCCAGAAGTCAACCAGTTGCTTGAGGAATGAATGAATGGCCTTCTGGGATTCAAAGAACAAGAATGAAAATTTAATGAAATCATCTTTAATATAACAGAAAAGTATAAAACATGGACAAACAATGGGGTAGCATTGCTATGCATTATATTTCTGTGTTATTATAAAGAAAGGCTGGTGATGATAAAGGTGGAAATAGGCATATTAAAAAACTAAATAGGTGGTGGTTTATTGATTTGGAGCTGTCAGAATAATTTGCTATTATTTAATAAAAAGTAGCTACTTTTAGTACTAACTGCATTTATTTATTTGTTACATTTTCCATAGAACTATCTTCTGTAATACATCACAAATATGTGACTTTACGTTGATGCTTCTTATGAAGACTTGGGGAATGTTAGGAATTTTATTGTATACTATATTTCATTGTTTCAGCAATATTCTATGTGTCTATCAAATAGTATGGGACACTTTGGGAATTTCAGTTTCTTTTATTTTTATTTTTACTAAAATACATTACTGTTTCTTCTGTGGATATTTCAATAGGTATCAAAAAATACTTTAATCCCATCTCTTCACCTATAATGTGCTACGTCACTGTTTGTAATTGGTTATATTTAAGGAAGCAAATGTTTTTAGAGTTTTAAAAAAAATGCTATAAGTCTTCAAATGAAGTCAAGAGCAGGAAGAATAGTATATATTTTTATTCTCAAAAATTACTTTATTCATTTTTGAGTACTGGGTTTTAAGTGGGAAGAAGTTATCAGAATTTTGATCTTCAACTAACAATACTTCAACATGAAAGTTTATTTCATTCTTGTGATTTTTCCTTATTTGTTTACTCTGGATAAAGTTTAGATATACAAACAACAGAAAAATTCTTTTTCTCTTGTCCCACCCCTTCCTTCCTTTCTTCTTTCCGTTCTCTTTCTTTCTAAGATAGAAGGACATTGAAATAATTGAGTGCCAGGAATGACTATTAATAAAAGTTGTTTTTTTTTTTTTATTTTTTGTGGTTTTTGGCTGGGGCTGGGTATGACCCTGCCACCTCCAGCATATGGGGCCGGCCAGTGCCCTACTCCTTTGAGCCACAGGCACCACCCAATAAAAGTTTTAAGATAATAACTTCACTATTCATTTCTTATATATCCTTATTTCATAAACATTTACACACTTGCTAAAACTAGTTCTTAAAATCCTAATTGAATTATTAATTTGCATTTTTTTTTTTTTTTTTTTTTTTTTTGCTGGTGCTGGGTTTGAACTCACCTCCAGCATATGGGGTGGGCGTCCTACTCCTTTGAGCCATAGGCACTGCCCTTAATTTGTATTTATTTAGCAAATAGTAAGGATGTATTATATGTGAAATATCATACCCAGATGCTGCTGTGGCTAACATGGAAATAAAGTCTCCATTTTGGTGAGTTCTTAACATAATCTGTTCTGTATTAAACTATAACAATAACCCAGTAACCTTCGTGGACCATGACAACATGAGGAACTATATTAAAGGGTCGTGGCATAAGGAAGGTTGAAAACCACTGGAATAGAACATCCCCCTGTCTTTGTTCTATCAGGCAAAGATTTTAATTACCCTCCTTGCCCACACTGCTACTTCCCCTGCCCTGGAAGAGACGCAGCATCTTTATTCGGATCTGCTTTGTCTTGACAGTGTAGACAATGGGGTTGATCACTGGAGGGGTGAGATAGTGTAGGTAGGAGAGCAGCACAAGGGTGCATGGCGAAGCTCGCTTCCCAAATCTGTGGATCATGGATAGGCCAATGGGAGGTATGTAGAAGAGCAGGACGGCACAAATGTGGGAGACGCAGGTGTTGAGGGCTTTGAGGCGCTCAGCCTTGGAGGCGATGGACAGCACAGTTTGGAGGATCAACCCATAGGACAGAACAATGAGCACCGAGTCCACACCCAGCGTGGAGAGAACCACCAAGAGGCCGTAGGCGCTGTTGACGCGAGTGTCAGCGCAGGCCAGCTTCATGACATCGGGGTGAAGGCAGTAAGAGTGCGAGAGCTGGTGGTTGCGGCAGTAAGGCAGCTTCTTCAGCATGATGGGGGCGGGGATGAGCAGACTGGCACTGCGCACCACGATGGCCAGGGCCAAGCTGGTGATGCGGGGACTGGTGAGGATGGTGCCATAGCGCAGAGGGTTGCTAATGGCCACAAAACGGTCAAAGGCCATGGTCAACAGCACAGAGGACTCCATGAAGGAGAAGGTGTGGATGAAGAACAGCTGGGCCAGGCACACGTCCACTGCCACCCTCCTGAAACCCAGCATGTAGAGCGGAAGCATGGTGGGCAGTGTGGAGACAGAGAGGCCCAGATCTGTCACCGCCAGCACCGACAGGAAGTAGTACATGGGCTGGTGCAGGGAGGGCTCTGTCCTCACCACCCACAGGATGAGGCTGTTTCCTGCCAGAGAAGTCACATACATGGCACACAGAGGGATGGAGAGCCAGGCGTGCACAGCCTCGAGCCCCGGGAAGCCGGCCAGGAAGAAGGAGGTGCAGGTGTGGTTAGAATCTGACATGATGATCCCAGGGGCGGAGAGCCAGGAAGAAGTGCTGTCACAGGCCCTACAATCAGATGGGTGGCTGGATCAGAACGTGGGATCCAGAGTATGATCTTACAAAGATTCCCTTTTAATACTCTACTGAGCACTCACAGCTCATGTACTTCACTTTAAATGAAAATAAACCAATGTAGAGGACAAATAATTTGAAATGACAGAGGGACTCTCCCATAAGCCCTGATGAAAGTATCACAGAAACGAATCCCTTAAACACAAGAAGTGTACAGCACAGTCAGGAAAGGGACTGATTCCCTGTGAGTTCCAAATCTTCGTTGTTTACATTTTGAAAGTGAAACCCAGCCTCTGTGAGTATTTATTGCATTAGATTTTAAGGCCTAATTCATATCTTCTTAATTCCTCTCGTATTCTCCTTTCAGAACTTCCTACTGTCCACCAGAGGATAATTATTTTAATTCTATAGTAAAAATGAAAATTTTGCAAAGCTTGACTGTCAAGTATTATCAGAAATGTATTCTGATGTCTCAATATGTAGTTATATCTTTTTAAAAAATATTTTTAAGGCATCAAACTTCAAGAAATACATGATTTTTTAACTTACATATTTTAATTTACAAATTTCTGAGTAAAGACATGCATGAAGGTTGATTCATAGATCTAAAAGGATGAACGGAAACTCAAGAATGTCTGGATTTGAAGGATGTTCATAGGGCTTTCCACATCCACCCACATTATATTGATTAAGTATCCAGTGACTGTAAAAGGGAACATTTTGTCATAAAATCAGATCAGTGTCTATATCCAGTTTGGGAATAGAACTTTGCCTTCACCCTACTGGACCCTGAGTACCTTTCAGGTACCAGACAGTATGGGTTCCTTCTTCCCAGAAATCAGGGAACTATAACTCTGTTTTAAAGTGTCTCCCAACACTTTCTTAACAAAAACTAATCCAGGAAATTTCTGGAAGTCTCAAAAGATGAAATATTTTAAAAACAATAGCCAGTGAAAACAGCTGAATTTTAAAGATATTGTTAAAATACAATATTGAGGTCCCACTGCAAAAGTAAACTTTTTTTTTTTTTTGAGACAGTCTTATTACGTCACTCTCAGTAGAGTGCTATGATGTCACAGCTCACAGCAACCTCAAACTCTTAGGCTTAAGCATTCTCTTACTTCAGCCTCCCAAGTAGCTGGAACCATAGGCACCAGCCACAATGCCCGGCTATTTTTTGGTTATAGTTGTCATTGTTGTTTAGCAGGCCCAGGCTTGATACAAACCTGCCAGCTTCCGTGTATGTAGCTGGCACCCTAGCCACTGAGCTACAGGCACAGAGCCCTCCACTAGCAATCTTAAACTTTAATTTTCGTTACAACTTTCAACCCATCGGTCTGGAGATAGGTGCTCTCTGTTCAACTCCTTTCCTTTAACTGTCCCCATTATGGATCATCCCACTCACGCACAGGCAGCACAGACAGGTATAATCCTTCCTATTTGTTTTTTTACTTCACAATATTTATTATTATGACTTTTACATATAAATTCTCAGATCATCTTGATTCTAAGGTAGGGAGATCAGGTTGTATTATTCCTGGTTCCCAGATAAAGAAATAGAATCTCTAAGAAATAAAGTAAATAATTCACCCAAACCCTCAGATTTAATAAAGGGTAGATGCAAGTCCGGGACACATTTCCTAATGACTTGGTTATTTTCCTTCTGAAAATATTTTAGCCTATAGTAAAAAATAAAACCAAACAAAGGAACAAAAAATATACTCTATTGTGTTAACAAAAGCTTTTGGAAAATCAGAAGTCTGGTGTGAATTCCATCTGCAAATCTTATAAGCTAAAAACCATCTTGAAAGTCTACTGAAAAAAAATATGATGGTTACTTCATGTTTCTTTATGTACGCATAGTCATTTTTAAATTCTCAAGTAGCTATTAAATAATTACTTTAGTAATAATTATTCTTGAGAACTTTTTTATAGGTGTTGGCTTTGTAGCTATCCTCAGATAAAAGTATGACTACAGGTAAATATCATGAACACGTGGATGCCTAGAGATAAACATTGTGAAGCAAATAATGTGTCCTGATAGAAGAGATGAACATAATATTTTAGACAAAGCATTGTGACAACAACCGTCAAGGGGGAAGAAAGATCTGGAGTAATCAGAATTGAGAGAAAACAGCCATTTGAAAACGGGTACGTATGTGAACGACTATGAAGGCGTGTATTGCGCATGCCAGGGCGTGTGTATCTATGTTCAGATGTGTAAGTGGGGCATGGGTCGATGAAGAGAGAAGCACTGGGCAAAGAAAAAGACCTGGAGCTTTTAATGCTGAAGGTATAGAAATCTGCTTCAGCTAGATGATATTACGGTCCAGAGAGAGAGTAAACAGAGAGTCCAGAACCTAAACTGTTAACAAGAAGCATTTATTTGCTGATCATCACAGTTTGAGGTCTGCATCAGTGCTTGCTATTTTTATTGTTCTGGTCCTCAAAGTGAATACTCTTTATGCCATAAAATACATTATTGCTTTCTAAATGACAATTGAAGTGGGCAAGGGGCTAGAGGAAAAGTTTAAGAGTTAAGGGCAGTAACATTCTATTGTATCTGTGCGGCTGTTTGTGACTGTGAGTGCGTGTGCGTGTGTGTGTGTGTGTGTATACCGGAGATGCCAAAAATGTATAACACATTTTAAGTGATGTTATCTGTGTACTACGCTCTGAAGTAGAATTGATTATAGTAGCAATTTATAGTATGAGATTCATTCAAAAGATGGCATTTGATCAAATGAATGCCAGCATCACCATACGACAAACATGAATAAGCTTTTTCTCTTAAAATGTGTATATAATTTGTTGGCATCCTCTCAGTATGCATCTGTCACATTTTCTATAGTCATTCATCCCACAGAAGACTCTTAGATTGATTCTATATCTTGGTTAGTCTCAATAATGATGCAGTGCAGGGAATCCTGTCATTTGCTACCACAAGGATCATCCTGATGGACAGTGTGTCGATTAAAATAAGCCAGACACAGAAAGACATGCAGTATATGATCTCTATCTGCCGAATCTGAAAAAGTTGAATTTCCAGAAACAGAGAGTAGAACAGGGGTTTCTCAGGGTGAGGGGTTGGAGGAAATGGGGAGATATTAGTCATCTTATGAATTGCAGTTATAAGTTTGGTTTCTCATGTACTTCATGATGACTGTAGCTAATAATACTGTAATAATACAGCATGGAAATTTGCCAGGAGAGTAGATCTGAAGTGTCTTCACCACACACATACACATACACACAAATGGTAACTATTTATGGTGATGAACTTATTAATTAATTTGTTTCTGGTAAACATTTCCCAGTGTACCCATACATCAAATCACAACATTGTACACTTTGAATATATATAATTTTTGCCAGTTATTTCTCAATAAAACTAAAACATAATAAAATATAGTAATTAAGACACAAAGTTTGCAAATAAGGGCTCTTAGGGAAAGTAGGAAAAGAACCTTTCCCAAGCTGAGCTTGGAGATGGTGGGGGCACACAAACTTGTCAGGTATGCATGCATATTGGGGTGATCTGATGTGTTTTCACAGACTCATTAAATATAAAGTAGAAGAGGATCATGATAACCAAAGACATCATTTTATCAAGGGTAATGCATTCTGAAGAACAAGTTGATGACCATGTGATCTCTCTTTAGGGTTGATTATTCTATATCAAGAAGCTAGACAACTTCTTTCATGCCTTCAATGTTTGGTTTTAGGAATTTACAATTTATGGCAAGATGAAAAAGGTAGTCATGTTGGGGACTTAAACTCCTTAAGAAGGAGGCTACTTCAGAAATAGTAGTACGAATGCTATATACTCCTGAACTTTCTGAACTTTCTGTACCATGCACTTTATACTGCACAATTTCTTACACTTATAACTGTTGTTTAAGGATTTCTCTAAGTAGTAAAGGTTCTCTCATAGACTTCTAATTGCAGACCCAAGGCACATACTTAGGCTGAGGAGAAACAGTAAAATTACTTTATTGTGTTTATTTGTATCCCCCATTTATCTAGAACATGCCAGGGGCCAGGGTTTTTTAATTTGTTTGTTTGTTTGTTTGTTTTTGTGCATGTGTGTTTATGAATAGGTATTGGTATTAAAAAGAAATTTCACAATTAGAAGCAAATTATTGCAAGACAAATGTAGAGGACATATCTTTTTGTCCTAGATTTATCACAAACTTTGAATAAACTTAATCAAACCTCACAATCATTCCATAAATTTCACAAATAACAATATAACCACTCCTATCTTGTCCATCTGATTGTATAATGTGAAGGCTCCTAGAAATTATTTAGTGCATATGTTTTGTGACATGTATAAGCTCATATTATGAAATTGACATCTTTTTATCTTTGGGGGTAAGACAACAAACCATTTTTCATCGATAGCTGGGAAGATTGATCAGAAATACCTTGCCAGATTTTGAAAGCGTCAGCAATGATTTGATTGATTATAGGAGCTCTCTACGTTCACTAGTAGCTAAATAACAAAATATCTATTATAACGTGGTGTTAGAGAAAGAGCAAAATTTAGGTCAGTAGTGTATTTTGCACTAAATGTACTTTTTCTTCAAGCAGATTAGCATTAACCAAAGGGTCATTAACAGTTTAATACACACTAGCCAAAAGATGATTGTCATTCTTCGCATAAATCTCTTATCACTATCTATATATAGACTATATCAAAGTCATAAGCAACAAAATAAGTAATTTTAATAACAACCTTGAGCAAGTCAATTTTGTAAATTTAGACTATAATTATTCCTTTAATTCTTACAATTCAAAGCTTCAAGACATGGTTTTTTTTCTTTTTTTTTTTTTGAGGTTGATAATTTTTAGAAAAAAATGGCCGTAACCTCAATAATTTTGAGTTATTGACTCAGAACGAACCTTTTTTATTTACTTTTATTTTTTTAAGAGGAAAGATACCATG